CAGAAGACTGCATACTAGATTTCAGTTCCAAAGCGACAGCCTGTTTCTTGGGTTCTTTTCTAGTTGGTGGCATTCAAGTGAAGGTACACACACTTGAAGTTCACCTGCAAAATCACACCTCTTGGGATCTACCAGAATCTACCGATCTCTTGATTCCTGCGAGTTCCTGCGAGTTCCTCAGGCGATGCTGCGGAGGGCGAGATGTCTGCAGGCTGCCGGACCATAAGAGTTTGGTTGCGGGAGTCTTCTTGACAAGCCGCTTCTTGCAAGAGAACATGTGGAAACGGCAGCTCAAGCAGTCCCCAGCTCAATTTAAAGTCACTTCCTTGGGGCAGAACCTCATTTGGCACCAGCTCCAGCATGCTCAGCTTTCCGTGTAAGTTGGAATAGCCAAGGGTTTATGTAGATGTCGGTGGACGGTTCCAGGGTGCCACCATGTGTTCGTCCGGGTCACATCCTTCACGGAACCACCATGTTGCAAACCCAAACCCGCACTGCTCAGGCCACGGTGTTTCGGCGGATAGATGCCACACGTGGCACTCAGCGTGGAGGAGCGTTTCTTTTCAACGAAGCGGGTGTCGACGTTGGGAAACTGCATGGAGCAGCACGGTGTTGTCTTCACCCGACCTCCGGAGGGTCCGGGGGACTGGTGGGCTTGGCAATCGCATTGTTTTTTGTGGCAGGGACGGCAGCAACATTTGTTGAGATAAGCTAAGGTCATAAAGTCATAACATTAGAACCCTGGCGACATGCCCCTGAAGCCAAGTTAGAGCTCTTTCAAGTCATTTGTAGTCATTCACGTTTCTTTGTCCCATCCAGTTTGTCAAGGCGACTTTTTGTGGGAACACCTGCCAGGACTCCAGGCTCGATACAACTCCCCAACGAATCCACAGATGCCAATGTCTGGGAAGGCTGTGGGAGGATGTGGGATGTGCGGATGTTGCAGCTGGGAAGAATTCGGGCACAGTCCAAGCGAAATACAGATACCCTGCCATGTTGAATGCCTCAGTCAACGCGATGGTTTTCCGACTTCTACTGTGTCTTCTGCATCGCCAGATGCTGAAGAAGCCTGCCTTGATGCAGCCGTCGATGCCAGTGCTCCCGGCGCTTTTGGAGATGTGGCCGTCGTTCGACGCTGTTCGACGCAGTGGTTCGACATGGCCGCTGTGCCAGGACGAGGATGCACCCAAGATGGAGATGTACGGCCTCGGAAAGGACCCAGAAGTGACGCCTGGGTCTCCGGTAGCCATAGCCAAGGCCACATGAGATGCAGCTAAGATTACATGAAGTTCACAAAGAGCCACAGGTCCTCTCAAGCAACAAACATAAGATGGATAATCCCAGGGGTTGGTAGTAGCAGTAATAGTAGCAGTAGCAGTAGCAGTAGCAGCAGTAGCAGTAGCAGCAGTAGCAGTCGCAGTAGCAGTAGCAGGAGTAGTAGTAGTAGTAGTAGTAGTAGGAGTAGTAGTAGTAGGAGGAGTAGTAGGAGTAGTAGTAGGAGCAGTAGTAGGAGCAGTAGTAGGAGTAGTAGTAGGAGTAGTAGTAGTAGTAGTAGGAGCAGCAGCAGCAGCAGCAGGAGTAGTCGTAGTATTGAAGACTGCGACTAGAGACTGGGCCTCGCCAGGATTGGATTGTCATCTACACCAAGGAGAGGTCCCCCAAAGTCTCGCAGTTGTGCGGTGCCGTTGAGTGCACCGCGTTGCGGTCGGCAAAGGGCACACCTTTAAAAACTGCTTGCTGAACATGCTTTTGCATCGTGCTACTTTGGTTTGATCGATCTTGCACGGATTATGGCTCACCCTTTGTGGAGACTTGAGGAATGCTTCAGCTTCCAGGCGAACCGACAGCTTTCCATCCTGCTCGCCACAGGCTGGGCGGCCGTACTACTTCAATCGTGAGACTGAAGAGCCAGCCATGGCACGTTTTGCCCGGCCGTGCGTCGCACCGGACCAGTGTTCCCGACATGTGGGTATAGGTCAAGACCTGTAGCCCCAAACCCTGCTAGATTGATTTCCCTCGCAGTCCATTCTGTTCATTCTTTTTCATGGGTCAACCAAAATTGCCCGGTTTTGACCCATAGCCATGTGGGCGTGTTCAAAGGTACCATGTCTGGAGCTAACCATTCTGAGATTACTAGCTCGATGCTATGGCGTTGAGATTGCCTCATGGTATGACAGGTGGTTAGTTCTTGACCCAGCCCCTTGGGCGACTCATATTTCACAACATGAAGACATTCATGACATCATGAGAGAAGAACCATAAAATCAACTCCTGCGCTGTCTGACTGTGTCTGACCGTGTTCCTTCGCACCTCGCTTCATGTAATGTAGATAGTCGATGAATCAACCACCATAATGATGCAGATGTAAAGCCATTCTTGTAGGATTTGGTGCTCCGTTGACGAATGGCTTGTTGATTATTGATTGTAGGATTTGGTAGGGCTTTGATTCATCAAACAATCTGGTGCTCAGTCCTGGTGCTCATGCCACCGTCCAAGGACCACCTGGGCACATCCGGGGACTGGTGTGATCATGCCACCGTCCAAGCCACCCACCGAAGCGAAGCCTGCACCTCAGGGCGCAAGTCACCGGGGGATCGGGTGAACCACCGAGAACCCGGAATCGAACGGGTGAATCGCACAGAGGTTTGATGGTTGGCTGGTGTCAACTACCTGTCTTTCGTTCGCTGTTCGGGTCTTCGTACCGCTTTGCTTCACTCTTAATGGTAGTTCTTGGATAGTCCTTGCAGGAGAGCTACGCGCAGGTATGCCCGTTGTGGGCAAACACCTGTTACCACAGTTGAGCCGGCCAACCGGGAAGCCGCCAGTTGAACTGGCCAACCGTGAACCAACAACCGGCCAACTGGAAAACCATAGTAGTCGTAGTAGTGAGTACAGTAGTCGTAAGAGTCGTAGTCCTTTGCCTTTGTGGCGTCCGTCAAATCGCCGTTGCCCTGGCGAACGGGGCCCATGAAAGGCTTCATGTACACTCTTCTGGTGTTGTGCCACCGTAACGCTGCTGCTACGTAGGCTTACTCGATGTTCCAACGGTTTAAACACTAGAAACACGAATGTCACATGAAAGATTGCGCAACAGAACGCTCTTCAATGTCCTCGTTCATTGTGTCTTTGCCAATCCTGGCCCCCTTGCGTCGCGCTGTCAATTCATTTGGAGATGCCCCATCACAGTTCTATATTGTTCTTGCGCTCAGAGTCCTTCTTGCTCGCCATGGCGGTGGCCCGGCGGTGGCCCTGGATGTAGCGTAATGAATGGCACCTTCGCCTTCAGCACGGACTGCCATGATAGGATCGGACGCTGACGCCTCCTCTTCGCTGCGGTGCCTGCTGTCGACAATTCGACGCGCGATGCGAACTCCTTACTTCATACGTATTGCGTATTTTCCCGTCGTCTCTTCACCCTCTTCTCTGTTCCTTCCCTTCCTCGCTTGGTTCCACTTTCTGAGAACGACGATGCAAGTCAGCGACACCTGGAAGATTTTGCAGAAGCCGTACTTAGAAAATACACGGTGTTTTAGAGACCCCAGGGTGACATGCTTCTGATGGGCAAGCACGCCGAAAAAGGAAGAAAACTCTCACACGCCTTGCCGGTCATTTCAAAACTCAATGGCGCCTTCAAAAACAGCTCGCCATATATGTTTTCTATGGATATATTATTTTCCACTGGCATGGCCACTTCCTTGGCTAGTTTCTCGTTTCCCGCCTTCAAGTGGCGGTTTCCCGGGTTAGCCGGTTACACCGGCGTTTTCCCACTTGATCGGTTCAACCGACCAACCGGGGAAGCAGGAACACCGGCAGCTGGAGACGTCCGATTGAACCGACGTGTCTCGGTCAGCCGGGATGGGGCCCTCGCAGTCTCTTCATCAGCAGCTCATATTCCACCCTCTGTGTTTCTCGCTCGCAGGGGCCAAGTGTAACTTGACATGATCACCTGTTTCAAGATGCAGGATGCCGTTTTGGGCTTCAAAGATCTTGCAGACCACGGTTGCGATGTCCGTGTAGAAGTCGGGGAAGGGGCTGACTCCCGCACCTTTGTCAAATTTGTCACGTGTCAAAAACCACTTTCTTATTCATATTTGGATTCGCTCGGAAGAGACTGGGGGATTTGACCCCCAAAGCTCCAGTTTCAGTGCGATGCAGGGGCATCCCTACGCCAGTGAAGTGGCTGCTCCGTGCGGTCTTCGGCCCCATGTTGGCCATCATGTGGGCACCTCAGAGCGGCGATAGTGCATCGCAGGGCCCAAGAAACGTCGAAAGAGGACATGGGCACTGCGTTCCATGGACCTCCATAAGAAATAAACAGATATATATAAATATGAAAGGGCTCTCAGAAGGGTCTTGAAGGGTTTTGCTCTGGCTGATCCGAAGCGGAATTCCTTTGAGCTGGTGGCCGTGTTCTGTATATATATATATATTGCTTTCCTCCTGCCCTGAACTTCTCCACACCAGCCCTGCGCCGCCGGTGCAGTGCCAGGGCTTTCTCAACGCTGGGACTTGCTCCCTTGCTGACGTCCAGCTGACCAGATTGGTTGTCCAAACTGGGAAAGTCCTAGTTGGCCTCAGTATCAGCACATAGGGCCTCCTTATCAGCCTAGGTTCTGAGCTGTAGTTTGGGGAACCCTGCAAATTGTGCTTTGGAAGGCACTTGAATGAGAGGACCATTTGAGCCTGAGGAGTACATAGTGTAGTCCTGTGCTGGCTCCATGCTGCTGTAGCTGATGGGAGACTCAGAGTCCTACATCGAATTCAACATGATCTACGTTGTTCATTCCACATAGCTCGATGGATAGCTTTTGGTGGCTTATTCGCTTGCTTCTAGGAGCGTGGTGGCTCAAGGGCAGGAGACTAGGGTGGCAAACCAGGATCACCGGGGCCACAGGAAGACAGGGTCGCCCTTATGCTCCTTTCACGTCCTAGATCACTCCAACATTTCTTTGTCACAAAATCCGATTTCCGAAAGGATCAGTCCGAAATCACTCCAAGTGGACGCCTTGGTCGAAACCACACCACCCGCGAACCCCGGACGCCCGTCCCGGCGCGCCATTGCGAGGCGTGGTCGGGACGAAGGAGAATTTGACCAGTCCTGGGTGATAGCCATGGCCTCCAACCTAAGAGCGATGGGGCTCCAAAGGCCTCCATCCTAATAGCGATGGGGCTCCATCCTAATGTAGAGAGATTCTGAGACTGGTAGCCATCACGTTTATGCATCGATCGTCTGGTAGGCATGGCGGTCGAGGGCGAAGGCGTTCTCGGCGCGGATGCCTAGAAGAGTGGACGACAAGGCTGCGGCCCAGTATCGTAGAGGCAATGCCAGTTCCTGTTATAAGTCCTTTTGGTTGTCGCACTCGAAGTAAGAACTTGCTGAAGGCAAGACCATGGTATTTCCTGTCATTCTTGAGTTTTTTGCGCTTTTTCTGTATGCCATGAGAAAAAGGTATGGTCATTTCTTTCACTGAAGAGATGGACTGCGAAGCCTTGTGTATAGAGAACATGTGTTCAAAGAACCTTGAGCACAAAGAAGAAAAAGGCGTGACATATACTGTAATCTGAATATGTCGAGATGCAATATACAGATGCTGAAGCAGATAACATGTACACATAAGGTGAGTTCAACAACACTAGAACACTGACCAAGTCTTCTGCTCAGTTAAGACAGCAGTTAGTTTTCTGTGGCTTCCTGTGATGTCCAAGGTCTTAGCGCATCTTCTGGGTCGCAGCCCAAGTTGTCAGTACTGGTTGCCATGCGCTTCTGGCGGCTTGCCGATGAGTAGGAGAACATGCTAGGCTGCGAAAACAGGTACCAACATCTGCATCCAACGAATGGATAGCATCAGCCCTGCAGAGTTGAACTGACACAAGGTATCGCGTAGAAACTTCCTCTTGAGCTATCCCTCAAGTCACTCACCAGTTGAGCTACACCCTTGATGCCTAGTAATGATGTCAGTCACCATTGGAACGCATTTGGGAGCACAAAACATGACCACCACGTCTCCGGATTCTCTTTTCTCTTCGGACCGGACACTCCACCGGTTCAACGGACCGAGGCCCGTTGAAGAGAAAGGCAGCAGGACCAGCAACGTCGTTGACAACCTCGATGAGCGAATACTGAGTTGGTGGGGAGACCTCAGGGACCGAAGCGACGCTAGTAGTAACAAGTGCCACGCTGCTAGTAACAAGTGCCTTACTAGTAGTAACAATAAGAATTTAATTAGAATTGTAATTACTAGCAAAGGAATCTACTAGGACCTCAGGGACCGAACTGATGCACGAATGGAGTGAGTGTCACGAGTGTCGCCTCGTGCTGTGAGGGCTTGGCCGGAGGAGGGGGGTTTCTGGGAGCCAACGGAGACAGCTGGAGACAGCTGGAGACAGTTGGAGGCAGCGTTGGCAGCTTGCTTGCAGCGGTTGGCGCGCCAAGGTTCAAAAAGAGGAATGGGGATACCCTTAAGGGTGCGCTGGCCTTCATTCCGTGGGCCGGGCTCCCTAGGAGAAAGGCTGAGAGAAAGACATCCACCGCGATCACGACGAAGTCGATGGGCGGATGAAGCCTATTCTTTCTCTTGAGACATACAACGGAGCAACAGGAACCGTGGTGTGTCTCAAGATGTGAGTCCTCTACATTCCTCTACCATGTTCTCTTCTCTTCTGCTTTTTGGTGTCGAACCTAACCTACTTCAGGTATAATTCGGCGAGTGAAGATTCCCCTCTGCCTCCACTGCTCTCCCAGACGGCTTTCGGTTGACTCCAGCGGCCTGTGCCGTTCCTGCCGCACCGACCGAGGTTTTGCAAGAGGCAAACGCCGAGGCGGGTCGCGCGGATCCGACCGGGTGGGTGCGAAGCATCCGTCCGAGCGAGAAGGGCGATTCGGATGGATCCAAAAGGTCTGGCAGGATTGAGGGAAGACAGTCTATACCAAGAAGACAGGTTTTCCGTATTTGGTTACATTGGACATCAACCGCCATGTAGCTTGGGTAGTTGCTTTTGGAGAAGAACTCCTTGAGAAGAAGTCCGATCTCCAAATCTACCAGATCTCCCCCTGCGCCATCAGGGCAGTTTGGAGAAGGGCCATGTGGTAATCCACAGGGGCAGCGGTGTGGAGCCCAAAAAACACTCTGCAAGACGCTGAGAAGAGGTGCGTGATGGTGAGGTCACGGTCGAATTCCTTAACAGGCTAGGCAAAAATTGAGTGGCCAAGCAAAGTTTGGATTCATACCCCTGACTTCTTGCATTTTCCTGCCAGCGCGAGTAAAATGACACCAGTGAGAGCTTGCATGAACACAGTCCTTGAGTCTGGCCTTAAACAGACAGGAGCAATAAGCAGTCTGACCATTCAAGATATTCATCATTCTCCACTGAGGAGCAGTCGTCTTTTCGGACGCTAGCGGTTTCACCAACCTGACAGAAAGGCGAGGAAGATGGGACTCCTGCTTTATTGGATGGCAACGCTGTTTTCGACCGCAACTCATGCAAAACAGATTGGAAGACCCACTTTCATGTTGTGGCATCTATCTCTGCGAGAGAGCCATGGGCCATGATGATGCCACAGGCTTTCCAAGAAAAGCGATGGTGCAGAATTGTTATCATTATGCTATGGCCTTAGGTGCTTGGAGCGCTATCCTCTGCACGGATTTTTTTTCATGTATTGAATTGAACCTAGGAACCTTGCCTTTTCAAGTGAGCTCTTCTACTCTGTCGTTTCTACAGGGACAGTATTTCTGCTGATAAAGGAGAATTTGTCGTTCGCGAACGTCTCCGTAACGTCTGACGTGTTGGAGTCCTACCAACTCCAGTTTGGAGACTTTTCTAAGGAAGCATCAACCCTTTCTGTAGTTCTTTCTTAGCTCCCATGCTTGCTGAGGCCTTACGTCTTTCTTCACTCCTTTGATAGACATCATCAACTCCTACCGCGGTGATGTTGGACAGCCCAGCATGAACTTTGGTGCTTCCAGCGTCACACTCGCGGTTTGGATGTCCAGCTCTGACGATTGGATCGTCCTTCCGCTGACGACGGGACCCGCAGGCACTGCAGCTGGACCTGAACACGGATGCACCCAGAATGAACCCAGAATCCATCTGAACTTGTGGGGAAACAAAAGCATAGTCCCAAGCAGGCACGTCTCTTTAAATTCAAACAAGCCACCAGTGTCTATGTTCCTTGCTACTACATGCTTATTTTTTTGGACACATCGACGGCATTTCCTTTCTTAAGGGAGCCACTTCTCGTTCTGGGCGGGTGACTTGACTTCTTTGCACCAGTCGATCCCCTCGGCGGACTCACCAAGTCGCCGCGCGGATTCCACGCGGCGTCACGCACTGAGGTGATCAAATTCAGTGGTGACGCACTGACCATCTACTTCCCGGCACCCTGGACGCAGCGCGTTTGTTTATTTTTCTTTTTTCAGCGCACACATGCGCAAACTGGCAAGTGCCAGCTGGAAGCGGCAGACAGCTGTCAAGTGGGTGTGGTGAAGGTGTCTGTTCTAAGCTGCAAAGTTCCTTCTTCCTTTCAGAAACCATTTCTCCCGCACACGTCTACGAACCGAACCTGTTCTTCTTCCCCCCCCTTACTTGCCCCCATTGGCCTCGGAAAAAACACGGACACCGAGGCAGTTGATGATACCAAGCACGAGAAGTACAATCACGTGGTTCCGCCGCACGGGACGTGGGGCCGGGGACCTCGGGGACCTCAGCGCGAGGGGCGTGGGAACGGCACCAAAGCACCGGGTATACTGTGGCTCAGTTCTTGTTGGGTGGATCGGAGGAGGAAGAGGATGAATTCCGAATTCTTCAACTTGGGTGCGTGGCTGCGTAGCTGTAGCTCAACTTATATAACTTGGTGAGGGTAGTGGGTTGGATGTGCATCTAGATTTTCGTGGGCGAATGCCTCCGAAGAGAGCGGACAATTTGTTGAGTGACCTGGTGTTTGAACGAGCCACACGTCTTGCATCTACCTGCTTGTGCTGAGGCGAACTTCCTTTTTACTTTTTTTGTGAAGTACCTTGATTGCCGTCATTCGATGGCCAAGGTATCGGCGAAGGTGTATCCGTTGTACATTCTACACGTCTTCCCGAAGTCAACAATCATTGCAAGTCGAGCTAGCATCACAATACTGAAACATCTTAAACCATGAAGCTTCTATGAAACCTCCAGCTAAGGTCCTATAGGTCTTTCATTCACCCTTTCTACCCCTTTTCGCCCAAGAGTTTCTCAATTTGTACATCCTGAGGTCTTCCAGACCTGGGCCCACAGCACACCGCCGTGCTCCGGGTTAGAGCGCCCAGCCGGTGCCGGTGCCATCGTGTCGCGGCGCGATCACCACGATCAGCCGGGGTCAAAGTCCTGCTTTTGGGGGTCGCACAGAGGCAGGAGAAGAGGTGGCAGCTTCTGTGCTTTGTTGTCTACTCCTTGTCTTTTGCGGGTCTCTGTCAGTGTGATTTTCTGGGCAGAAAACTCTTGCTGCAGGTTTTTGTGGGGGGTGCTTATGGGTTGAAGCATGCCCTGACACATGCTTAGGGGAGTGAAGACACCCAATCGATCCCATCGGTGTTCTAACTCGATAAGGAAAGATGGAGTTGGATGGGGCTCAAGAATCCGTAGCTCAAAATATCTCGGAAACAGATTGACGATAGTAGGAAGGAGACAAGTGGGTTCTGGTTTTTTCAAGGTTTGCATCAGTTGCACCGCGCCTATTCTTTCTGCAAGGCTTGCGCCTGCTGCATTGAAATTCACAAGCGCCTCCACATGTTCGACACAGGCCCAGGGTGAAGAGGGTCGAGTGCTTTCCGTACTCACGAACCAAGAGAAGCTTCCGAATTCAATGTTTCACACATGGAGTCGTTCGTGTCAGTCAAGTCGGCGAGTTCCACGGTCTCAGGCAGCTTCCTTTGCATGGACAGCAGGAATCCAGCATGCCCCTGAATCCACTCAGTTTAGACCCTTCTTAAAAGGACACTTCCTTCGCTTTTTTCCAAAACGAGCACTGCCTTGTTCCACGAGGCGTCGACGGCGTCCGTTTGTGCCTCCACATTGGTGTTGGATGCGGCGAGGTGAATATCCTCCAGGCCGGGGTGAAAAATCCTCAATATATAGAGTATATCCTCAGAACTAATTATATAGTGATTAGTGATTGCATATTATAGAAATCAACTTCTAGATAGGTGGAGAGTGGTGTAATGATATAACTGAGGCTGTGGTATTTTTTCAGCGTTCTCACACTCGACCAGGTGGGTGGCCGGCCTCCGCCTGAGACGCGGGTGCCACGCTTGGAGTGCGCCGGCGTGGGCGGTGGTGAAACGCCGTGGGTGTTCGTCACGCCAACGGCGGGGTGCTCCGTGTGGGAGAGAGAGAGAGAGAGGGCTTCCGAAGTGGGGTTCACCATTTCAAGCTTGGTAGATTCAAGACTGGAGGAAGGGGGCCCTAATTTGCACACCTGTCATTTGATTGGGTTGTTGGAAGGTTTGACAACTAAGGAAGGTTTCAGCACCCTGACCTGCGAAAGCCGATGGAATTTCCGCAACCTGCACCAACCCGCGCAAGAACCGAGAACGCCAGGTACATCATTGCTGGCCCACCCTTGGAACAGATTTCCATTGCTGAGCCCTTGGCCGGCAATGGCGAGACCTGTCTGAGTCCTCAGGCGAGCAATTGCCTGGCACCCTTTGGGGACGTTTAGCATTGGTGGAGATCAATCTGATCAATTTGCTCAAAAAGAAACGGAAGAGACCCCAAGTTTGGGTCAACATTCCACTCTGGATGAAGACCCTTGAATGGTGGGTCCCCGTAGTGATAATTCGTTTGGAGACAGAACTGGGTTTGGTGTTCCGAGCACAACCTTACTCACGGATCCAGAGGGACCCAGATGCGCGTGTTTGGCCCCAGATGCGCGGGGCCCAAACCGGATTCTGGACCGCCTGGAGAGGCTTGGGCCTATGTGAAGGACTGCGTGGTGGAAGGCTCACCAGTCGAGGAGAGAATGTTCAACGCTGCCTGGAGGTTGATAGAGCTCGGGACACATGGACAAGGCTGAATAGCAATTGACAATCAGAATCGAAAGGAAAAGGACACCAGGAGTATTCTGGTCCTGTTCCACTTCCCACCAGGGGTTTGACAGGCAATACTCCTGATCCGATGGCAAAATGCCCCCTAGTTTGCACAGGTGACAACACGACAAGGTGTCTTGTGTGTACCGCTGCCGTATATGTCAAAATCCTGAGTCGCTTCACATCCCAAGCCTCTGAAACCCTTGAGGAATGCCTGAGGTTCTTCCATGGGAGGTGTTTGTGAAGCAGGCCACGCGGACTGTAGCATCGGCCTATCTCCAGGGTCGAAGTCCATCAGTGGAGGTGTTGGAGCAGACGGTGGTGGCCACCGCTGCAGCTGGCCAGTGGGCCTGGGCGTTGCACTTCTTGGAGTTCCCAGAAGGACGGACTTCAAGAAGTTGTGAAGCTTTCTTGCGAAGTCTTTCAAGGTCGAAGCAATGGCAGTTGCACCTGAGACTCTTCGAAGAGCTCTACATGAAGGGAATTCCAATGTCAGATGGTGCGGTGCATGCTGCCTTGTACTCTTGCAAAGCTGCGAGTGCTTGGGCCCATGCGGAAATCTTGCTGACTCGTCATCCCAGCTTAAAATCTTTCAGCCTGGTGTTGGGGATCTCTCCTTGGGATCGAGCTCTTGAGATCTTGGCCCAGATGACACCAGCGCAGCAGAGCACGGTGAGCTTGAACCATTTGATCAGCAGCCTGGGCCAAAGCTTGCGATGGGCCTTGGCCTTGCAGCTGGGACATCAGCGACAACAGCTGAGCAATGGGCACCGAATGGCGACAGCCAAGGCGATGATCAGCGCCTGTGAGAAGGGATGCCAATGGGAGGCCGCTTTGCAGCTCTCGCACGAGCTGGAAGAAGCAGGGCTCGTGGATGTGGTCTCTTGTTCCTCCTGCATCCGCGCACTGGCAAAAGCAAACCAATGGCAACGGGCGGAACTCTTGCTGGAGAAGATGTTGCGACGTGAGCCTGAGCCCAACATAATAACCTTTAACTGTTTGATCAGTGCGTGTGGAGGGGACCAGTGGCCGCGGGGTTTGCATCAGCTGTCTGAGCTGCCTCTTCATGCGCTTGTTGCAGATGACTTTACTCTGGTCACCAGCATCAGTCGGCTTCCACTATGGCAGCCAGGCCTCTTCTTGTTGAGGACTTCTAGATCTCAAAGCACCGAATGCAAAGAAGCATTCAGTGCTTTGATGAGCAGCCTCAACCGCCAATGGATGACATCTCTTGCCTTGCTCCGATACATGCACCAAAGGGATCTCGAGACCAGCCTGCCTTGCCAACAGGGAGTCTTGTTGACACTGAAAAGCTCAGATCAATGGGAGAGGATGGTGAACGTCATGGCACCAGCCAGTCACGGTCGCAGTGCTTGGCGCCGTCGGGGCACCATGTCCTCGCTCCAGCTGAGCACCGAAGGAAGAGCCTCCCGCTGGAGGGAGGCGGTGAGCTTCTTTCGAGGGATGTTGAACGGACACATCGAGGCCTGGTGGAAGAAAGACTATGTTTCCACACTATCAATTCCCTGCAACAACCCAACTAATCTTGACCAGACTCCTTTCCGACACAGAACGACTTTCTCTTTTGCCAGACTCTTGGTGAAGAACCTTTCTGCTTTGGACCCTCGTTTAGCTTGGGCTCTCCTAGTAGGGGGTTTCTTGTTGGGGTGAAGGGTTGTATTGATCAAGCTCTGACAAGATGACCGGTTGGGGCTTCAAACACAGGCTCGTTCAGAATCGAACCCGGAATATCTTTTCCAGGACGTCTTCCACAATAGCAAACGAAAGAAGCAACATTCAGCAGAGTTTGGTACAAGAAGCACCAACTCTGAAGGTGTCCTCCTCTGAAACCACTGCGGCCATCTCTGCATGTGATGTTGGGCCACAGTGGCCACTGGCCTTGGAGATTTTTCGGCGCTCTGGCATGAGGAGCACTTCCACCTTCAATGGAGCGGTGAGCGCGTGTCAAGAGGGAGCATGCTGGGTGTTGCCACTGAGTTTATTGGATCTCATGAAGACCTGTCTCGTGAAATCTGATGCTCTGAGCTTTAACTCCGTCCTCACCTGTTGCGAGAAGGCGGCTCTCGGGCCGGGCGAGGGCAGGCTTGAAGGAGCTGCAGACTCCGGACCCGAAAGATTGCAGGGTTGTTTTGCAGGAGCTGGTTGCTGGATTCCATATCATCAACCTACCATACCTACTACCACCCAGCTTACCATACACCATACAACCTTCCACTCCCTGTCCTTCCCCCTCCCCTCCTCTTCAGGCCAAGCGCTGGGAGTTCTCCTTTCGCTTGGCTCGCGGGGCCTCCGCCGCTGCCGAACGCCTCGACGCGCTGACCGCCTCGGTGGCCGCGGCCGCCTCGGCGCAGCGCTGGCGCTGGGCGCTGCAGCGGATGGCGGCGGGGGGAGACGCGGTGACGGCGGTGTGCTTGGAGGCGGGGGTGCTGGGGGGCCGTGGAAAAAGTGAAGGAAAGGGGCTGCAATTGGTGTGGACTATATGATATATGTATAATATGCACATGGAAGATCATGAAATAGAATGTGACTGAAACAAAAACAACAGCTGAATGGAGCTTCTGAGGTGGCCTTGGAAGCCTGTGAGATGCAGAACCAAGGGCGCCAAGTGGTGGAGCTTTTGGACAAGCTTCAGCTGAGTGGGGAGCTCGCTGTGCTGAAAACGTGCGTCGAATTTGAGCCACTGCGCGTGGTGGTTTGAGTTTTCAGCGGAGATGAATCAGGATGAATTTAGGGGTATGGCCCGTGTGTATCTATGGTGGTGCAGGATGGACCGTTTATTCACCGTCACCTGGTGACCAGAAGGTTTTCACTTCGACGTGGCTCTTGTCAGGCAAGGACCCTTGCAAAGAACCCGGAGCCAGTAAAGCCTTCAAGCAAGACAAGACCAGTCTGTGAGAAGAGTGTCTTGGAGGTTTCTTAATCACGAAAGCTAGCGAAGCTAGCTGGAGTTACTCTTGCGATAGCAAGGTTTCTTTCGACCGGGTGCAAATCCTAATCCCTGATTTTTCAGGTCGAAGACCCCCCCCCGTCCTCCCCTCCGCCCCTCTCCCCTCCTCCCCTCTCCCTTCTCCCCACCCCACCTCCCCTCTCCTCCTCCTTGTCTTCCTCCCACCTTCCCTCCCTCCCTCCCTCCCTCCCTCCTGAAAGGTAGAGCCTACCTGTACAGGGTTCCACTCCAACAGCTGATATAGTGTGTCCATGCTTGACTGCTTCAAGGCTCAAAGAGCAAGAGGATAAGACTCTGCGCATAAAAGACACTAGCGGTCTGCACCTCTACCGTGTACGCCCTAGTCACTCTTTCAGTGGTAGCGGAGCAGTGATCCTGGAAGACCCAGGTGAGCTCCTTTCCTAGGCATAGACTTGCTAGTGGGCAAACGGCCATGGATTGGATTGACGACTGGGAAGAGCCTGATGCGGATGTGGCTTATGAGCCAGCAGCCTACGTGAATAGGCATGTGAGAAGAGAACCAGCAGCAATAGCAATGACAACACAGGTCACTACAAAGGTGCCCCCATCTTATGATGGAAAGACTTCATGGTTTTCCTATGAGGATGCCATAGACGATTGGTGTGATATCACCGAGCTGGAAGATGAGAAAAGAGGACCAGCATTGAGAAATAGATTAGAAGGAGAAGCAGCTGTATACAAGCGTGTTTTAGACAGAGATGCATTGAAGGCAAATGATCCACCAGGAGCCGGCGTAGAATATTTCAAACGAGTACTACGACCATATTTCGTGAAAGGATCAACCAATGTATTCCTGTATAGGTTCATGCAATTCGTGCGCTTCAATCGAGGATCAGCTGACATGATGAAATGGATGACAAGATTCCAGATTTTACTCCAAAGGCTTATGAGCAGTTGGATGGACATGTTAGAACCAGTCACTCAAGCACATCCACAAGTCCTAGCTCAGATGCAGGCAGATGCAGCATTGACTGGAACAGCACCAACGGCAGAAAGGATTCAGGAAATCATGCAGACCATCAATGGCAACATGAGGACCTTTCATCAGAACGAATTTCCTCTAGGAGAAAATCTCATTGCCTTACTCATGCTGTCACTTGCAGATTTGTCTCAGGACCAGCGAAACACTTTGACTTCATTGATGACTCATCGTGGCAGGGTCCTGCAGCAATACACCACAACAGAGTTGAGGACAGTGTTCATTGAGATGTTCTGCACGACAAAGACTTCAGTAGACAATCCTTTGATGCAGCCGACAGGTGCTGGAGGTAGAAGATCATTTCTCGTACTAGACGAAGGAGAACTCGATGGTACATTTGGCTATTGGGCCGAAGATGAAGAAGATGGAACAGAAGGATTTTTAGATGCCCTGGACGATGTCTTTTGGGTATATGATGATCAAAACTTCTCATGGTTCCAAAGGAGATTCCAAGGAAGAAGAGCCAGGAAAGGCAAAGGAAAAGGTAGAAGAAAAGGAAAAGGAAAAGGAAGATCAGGCCGCAGATTCTTCAGACCTCGTGGAAAAGGAAAAGGAAAGAGACGAGGTAAAGGCCATTTTGCTGATGAGCAACAGACAACATATCCAGAAGAGTACTTTGAAGAGAATCCTTATGAGGATACTTGGGAGTCAAACCAAGTAGCATATGATGCCATTCTTGCCGAGGATATGAATGACTATCTTCAAGGAGAATATGATGATGCCAATGACTTCTGGCAACAGCTTGAAGAAGCATGGTTTTCCCACAAAGGAAAAGGAAAAGGCAAGAGAAAAGGCAAGAAAGGAAAAGGAAAAGATAAAGGAGATGGCAAACAAGATGCAAACTATGCAAATCCACAACAGCCACGTTCTTTACCTGCACCTTCAAGATCTTCACAAGCATCAGGAGGTCAACAAGGTTTCTTTGCACATTGTGTGACAGCAGCAGCTGAAGTCAATGACAGTGAGGTGGACTTGCTGTCAGGCATGATGACCTCATGTCAAGATGAAGCTGACTGCGC